GCCCCACCTTCCTCATCACCACCAGCCTACCCTACCCTGCTCCACCTTCCTCCCTTCACCACCCTACCCTACCCTGCACCACCTTCCCTCATCACCAGTAGCCTACACTACCCTGCTCCACCTTCCCATCACCAGTAGCCTACCCTACCCTGCCCCACCTTCCCTACCTTTCACCCACCTACACTACCCTGCTCCACCTTCCTACCCTTCACCACCTTCCCTCCCACTACCCTGCTCCACCCTTCACCACCTTCACCTACCCTAGCCCACACTACCCTGCTCCACCTTCCTCATCACCACCACCCTACACTACCCTGCACCACCTTCCCTACCCTTCACCACCTACCCTACCCTGCCCCACCTCCCACCCCTAGCCTACACCACCCTCCTACCTTCCTCATCACCACCTTCACTACCCTGCTCCACCTTCCCTACCCTTCACCACCTACATACTCTTCACCACCATCCCTACCCTTCACCTCCTTCCCTACCCTTCATCATTTTCCCTACCCTGACCACCTTCCTACATCACCCAGCCTACCCTACCCTGCCCCACCTTTCCTACCCTTCACCACCTTCCCTACCCTGCACCACCTTCCCTCACTTTCACCACCTTCACTACCCTGCTCCACCTTCCCTATCTTCAACACCTTCCCTACCCTTCACCACCTTCCTACCCTTCAGTAACCTACACTACCCTGCCCCACCTTCCCTACCCTGTCACCTTACCTACCCTGCTCCACCTTCCTCTACCCAGCTCCACCTACCCTACCCTTCACCACCTTCCCTCATCTTCACCACCTTCCCTACCCTGCCCCACCTTCCTTCCCACCACCAGCCTTCCCTACCCTGCACCACCTTCCTCATCTTCACCACCTTCCCTACCCTTCACCACCTTCCTCATCACCAGTCACCCTTCCCTACCCTGCCCCACCTTCCTACCCACCAGTAGCCTTCACTACCCTTCTCCACCTTCCCTCACCCTTCACCCTTCACTACCCTTCACCACCTTCCCTCATCACCAGTAGCCTTCCCTACCCTTCACCACCTTCCTTACCCTTCAGTACCATCCCTACCCTGCCCCACCTTCCCTCATCACCAGTACCTTCCCTACCCTGCTCCACCTTCCTACCTTTCAGTCACCTTCCCTACCCTTCACCACCTTCCCTACCCTTCACCACCTTCCCTACCCTGCCCCACCTTCCCTACCCTTCACCACCTTCCCTACCCTGCCAAAACCTTTCCTACCCTTCACCACCTTCTTTACCCTTCACCATCTTCCCTACCCTGCCCCACCTTCCCTACCCTGCCCTGCCTTCCTTACTCTTCATCACCTTTCCTACCCTGCCCCACCTACCCTACTCTTCACCACCTTCCCTACCCTTCACCACCTACCCTACCCTGCCCCACCTTTCCTACCCTTCACCACCTTCCCTACCCTTCACAACTTTCCCTAACCTTCACCACCTTCCTTACCCTGCCCCACCTTCCCTACTCTTCAACACCTTCCCTACCCTTCACCACCTTCCCTACCCTTCACAACCTTCCCTACCCTGCCCCACTTTCCCTACCCTGCCCCACCTTACCTACCCTGCCACACCTTCTCTACCCAGCTCCACCATCCCTACTCTTCACCACCTTCCCTACCCTGCCCCACCTTGCCTTCCCTTCACCACCTTCCCTACCCTTCACCACCTTCCCTACCCTTCACCACCTTCCCTACCCTTCACCACCTTCTTTACCCTTCACCATCTTCCCTACCCTGCCCCACCTTCCCTACCCTGCCCTACCTTCCTTACCCTTCATCACCTTCCCTACCCTTCACCATTTTCACTACCCTTCACCACCTTCCCTACAAAACCAATTTCCCTATCCATCACCACCTTCCCTACCTTTCATCACCTTCCCAACCCTTCACCACCTTTCCTACCCTTCACCACCTTCCCTACCCTGCCCCACCTTCCCTACCCTACACCACCTTCTCTTACCTTCACCACCATCCCTACCCTTCACCACCTTTCCTACCCTTCACCACCTTCCCTACCCTGCCCCACCTTCCCTATCCTTCACCACCTTCCCTACCCTTCACCACCTTCTTTACCCTTCACCATCTTCCCTACCCTGCCCCACCTTCCCTACCCTGCCCTACCTTCCTTACCCTTCATCACCAGTTTCCTACCCTACCCCACCTACCCTACTCTTCACCACCTTCCCTACCCTGCACCACCTTCCATACCCTGCCCCCCATCCCTACCCTTCACCACCTTCCCTACCCTTCAGTAACCTTCCCTACCCTGCCCCACCTTCCCTACCCGTCACCACCTTCCCTACCCTTCACCACCTTCCCTACTCTTCACCACCTTCTTTACCCTTCACCATCTTCCCTACCCTGCCCCACCTTCCCTACCCTGCCCTTCCTTCCTTACCCTTCATTACCTACCCTACCCTGCCCACCTTCCCTACCCTTCACCACCTTCCCTACCCTTCACCACCTTCCCTACCCTGCCCCACCTTCCCTACCCTTCACCACCTTCCCTACCCTTCACCACCTTTCCTACCCTTCACCACCGTCTCTTCCCTGCCCCACCTTCCATACCCTTCATCACCTTCCCTACCCTTCACCACCTTTCCTACCCTCCCCCACCTTCCCAACCCTTCAACACCTTCCCTACATCACCCCCACCTACCCTACCCTTCACCACCTTCCCTACCCAGCCCCACCTTCCCTACCCTACCCCACCTTCCCTACCCTTCACCACCTTCCCTACCCTGCCCCACCTTCCCTACCCTTCACCACCTTCCCTACCCTACCCCACCTTCCCTACCCTTCACCACCTTCCCTACCCTTCACCACCTTCCCTACCCTACCCCACCTTCCCTACCCTTCACCACCTTCCCGACCCAGCCCCACCTTCCCTACCCTTCACCACCTTCCCTTCCCTTCCCCACGTTCCCAACCCTTCACCGCCATCCCTACCCTTCAGTACCTTCCCTACCCTTCACCATCTTCCCTACCCTGCCCCACCTTCCCTACCCTGCCCCACCTTCCCTACCCTTCACCACCTTCCCTACCCTTCACCACCTTCCCTACCCTTCACCACCTTCCCTACCCTTCACCACCTTCCCTACCCTGCCCCACCTTCCCTACCCTGCCCTACCTTCCCTACCCTGCCCCACCTTCCCTACCCTTCCCCACCTTCCCTACCCTGCACCACCTTCCCTACCCTTCACCACCTTCCCTACCCTTCCCCACCTTCCTTGTCCTTCACCACCTTCCCTTCCCTGCCCCCCCTTCCCTACCCTGCCCCACTTTCCCTACCCATCACCACCTTCTCTACCCTGCTTCACCTTCCCTACCCTTCACCACCTTCCCTACCCTTCACCATCTACACTACCCTGCCCCACCTTCCCTACCCTATCCCTCCATCCCTACCCTGCCCCACCTTCGCATCCCTGCCCCACCTTCCCTACTCTTCACCACCTTCCCTACCCTTCACCAACTTCCCTACCTTGCCCTACCTTCCCTACCCTTCACCACCTTCACTACCCTGCCCTACCTTCCCTACCCTACCCCACCTTCCCTACCCTACCCCACCTTCCCTACCCTGCCCCACCTTCCCTACCCTTCACCACCCTCCCTGCCCTTCACCACCTTCCCTACCCTTCACCACCTTCCCTACCATACACCACCTTCCCTACCCTGCCCCACCTTCCCTACACTCACCCCCACCTTCCCTACCCTGCCCCACCTTCCCTACCCTTCACCACCTTCCCTACCCTGCCCTACCTTCCCTACCCTACACCACCTTCCCTACCCTACACCACCTTCCCTCCCCTTCACCTCCTTCCCTACCCCTCACCACCTTCCCTACCCTTCACCACCTTCCCTACCCCACACCACCTTCCCTACCCTTCACTACCTTCCCTGCCCTTCCCCACCTTCCCTACCCTTCACTACCTTCCCTACCCTTCACCACCTTCCCTACCCTTCTCCACCTTCCCTACCCTTCCCCACCTTCCCTACCCTTCACCACCTTCCCTACCCTCACCACCTTCCCTACTGTTCCCCACCTTCCCTACCCTTCACCACCTTCTCTACCCTTCATCACCTTCCCTACCCTTCACCACCTTCCTTAACCTTCCTCACCTTCCCTACCCTGCCCCACCTTCCCTACCCTTCACCACCCTCCCTGCCCTTCACCACTTTCCCTACCCTTCCCCACCTTCCCTACCCTTCCCCACCTTCCCTACCATTCCCCACCTTCCCTACCCTGCCCCACCTTCCCTACCCTTCCCTACCCTTCCCTACCTTCCCTACCATTCCACCTGTCTTTAATAGATATGTAGTTTGTGGGAGGTGAAGGGTGTCATAGTAGAATGATCGGCCATGGCCAGACCTGGTTCTCAGAATATTAAGCGGGAGTTAATGGCCGCCTAACTATATATGTTAACATCTAGTATATGTTATGTTGCTGAAGAGACTGATGCCATACATAGATAATTTCTCAAGATGGAGCACGAACACGAACTTCGTCTGCTCAAGGACGACTACAATGTACTCCAACTTCCCTGCAAGTTGGGCCAGAAGGTCCTCGACTTCTGTATAGACACCGGGGCCCGTAACACACACGTGTCCCTCCAGACTGTCATTGACTGTGGACTGAGAGACAAGATTAAACCCTATCCCCCTCACCTGCAATGGCCAGATGGAGTCGTTGGGATTTTGAAGGAAGAATTGGTGTGTGAAGATAATGTTAGGATTAATACAATAATCTTGGTAAGGGACAAGATTTCCAACTTACTGGGTTTAGATGTACTTAATAATTACCGCTGCAGCATAAGACTGTCAGCCAGCTAGCCGACCCTTGTGGTACGCAGCCTGTCTAAGAAGAGGCGCCACATCATCAATGATCACCTTATTCTCCCCTGTACCGTTGGGGGCCAAACAAAGATCAAGAGGTGCATAATAGATACCGGCTGCACCTACACCTATATCACAGACGACATCGTCAGAGAGTGCGGCCTCCAGGTGCACCAAGCCCCACAAGCTATCACATACCTAGACGCCGCCGAAGAAAAGTTCACCGTTGATCGCCAAGCATCGATGGAACTGACTGTTCTAGGGAAGACATCAACCGTTGACGCCTTAATTGACAACAACGAAGATATTATGATCCTGGGCATGGACTTTCTCACAGGGTTGGAGATAACTTTTGTAGGCATTAATAAAATCATCACCAACGAGTTGGACCCCTGAAAAGCTTATTGTAATCTTTTGTTTATAAAAAGAAAAATTAACTTAAAATATTTGTTTTGTTTGTATAAAAATAAATTATAAATAAAAATGTGTGTGCGTGTGTGCGTGCAATCCACAACAGTCGCCTTGCTCCTAGATATCTATTTACGGGTAAACATGTTCCCGATGGCGCCTTCTTTTGATAATTACTTACTATTTACCACTAGGTAAACAGAGGCATAAGGTGTCAGGGAACTATCAGGGGGGGGGGGAAAGCGCCAAGCCATTACGACTATATAGCACTTGGAAGGGGTCAGGATAAGGATTTGGGCTGGGCAGGAGGGAAGGAAAGTGTGCCCAACCACTTGGACGGTCGGGGATTGAACGCCGAACTGCATGACGCGAGATCGTCGCTCTACCGTCTAGCCCAAGTGGTTGGACATATAAGGTGTCAGGGAACGTGCCAAAACATCTGAAAAGTTAGGCTAATGGCAATGAATAAGAACAAATTATATAAAACCTCATATATATACAAAGGGTAAAATTATTGGGTTAAGTAAGAGAAGGATGCTTAACAGCATTTTATGGAGAATATTAAGGATTGGAAGCAGATCAAACAGAGGGACATAAGAACATAAGAACAAAGGCAACTGCAGAAGGCCTATTGACCCATACGAGGCAGCTCCTATTTATAACCACCCAATCCCACTCATATACATGTCCAACCCGCGCTTGAAACAATCGAGGGACCCCACTTCCAGCACGTTACGCGGTAATTGGTTCCACAAATCAACAACCCTGTTACTGAACCAGTATTTACCCAAGTCTTTCCTAAATCTAATCTTATCCAATTTATACCCATTGTTTCGTGTTCTGTCTTGTGTTGATACTTTTAATACCCTATTAATATCCCCTTTGTTATGTCCATTCACCCACTTGTAAACCTCTATCATGTCACCCCTAACTCTTCGCCTTTCCAGTGAATGCAACTTAAGCTTTGTTAATCTTTCTTCATATGAAAGATTTATAATTTGGGGAATTAACTTAGTCATCCTACGCTGGACACGTAATAAGATAATAGGAGATAGATAAATTAGTTGGATGTCCCCCACACTGGTGTTGTGTACCTACACCTGTTTCCCACACTGGTGTTGTGTGATTACACCTGTCCCCCACACTGGTGTTGTGTACCTACACCTGTCCCCCACACTGGTGTTGTGTACCTACACCTGTCCCCCACACTGGTGTTGTGTGATTACACCTGTCCCCCACACTGGTGTTGTGTACCTACACCTGTCCCCCACACTGGTGTTGTGTACCTACACCTGTCCCCCACACTTTTGTTGTGTACCTACACGTTTCCAGTACACTGGTGTTGTGTACCTCCACCTGTCCCCTACACTGGTGGTGTGTACCTACTGTGGGATATCTGGGGCTTGACTCATATATTCAATTATTTACTTATTGGATTTAATAAATCGAAGGACCACCTACTTTTGAGAAAAGAGGGAAAACTAATAGAAGTGATCATTAGAATAACACTAGAGAACCAGTGTCTATGGATAATCATTAAAAGGAATAATCACTTGAAATAATGAATGGACTGTATTATTAATTAATTAAAGTCAGAGCCTCAAAGACCTACATTGGGGGGGGGCGGGTATTTCTAGAATTTCATATATATCTAGGAACTAGTGTGGTTCGCTCCAGTTCATTGTTGAGTAAATGATATAATAAATCTAAACTACTGTAGATTCAAAATATGAGAACTCAAATTGTGAATATTAAAGATCATGAATTACTCAGCAACAGTCAGAGCAAAACACATTAATTACCAATCATCATTTCTGGTAATAATCTATTCAATGCAAAGATTCTACAGGAGTTATATAAGAATCAATAATCATATTAAATAAATTTGTACGAAAAAATGTCTTAGCTTTAAGACGATTTCTGTAACATCATTTCGTCATTCGTCCTCGTGGTCACAGGATCTCCACAAAGAAAGAACTCGAGGTGAGTATCACAAATGATGAGAAACAACTTGATGACTCCTCGTATACACGCTGAAATCAGAGAAATTTAAGTAGCATTTGAATAGCAGTCTCCGTGGTGTAGTGGTAAGACACTCGCCTGGCGTTCCGCGAGCGCTATGTCATGGGTTCGTATCCTGGCCGGGGAGGATTTACTGGGCGCAATTCCTTAACTGTATCCTCTGTTTAACGCAACAGTAAAATGTGTACTTGGATGAAAAAACGATTCTTCGCGGCAGGGGATCGTATTCCAGGGACCTGCCCGAAACGCTACGCGTACTAGTGGCTGTACAAGAATGTAACAACTCTTGTATATATCTCAAAAAAAAAAAAAAAAAAGAAGAATAGGCTACGTTTATTTTCAATATTCATGAAAACGGAGGAAATTGTCGAAATTTTACTAACGTTGTATACTGGGTATCCTCGCTATATGACGACAGACTACTCACAAATATATAATCTAGGATGATGCATCAAACGAGAAACATATACTTAACATGAGCGTATTAAATACTGAGGTCTGCCGAAATTGCGTCAGCCAGTCCCTGACGTCCACTGCTGTGTATGTGTAATTACGGGTCACAGTTTCAATTGTTGACGTGTTATAACTGGCTGGGCACTATAGAGCACGTGGATAAGTAATTATTAACTGTTGACCGAGTATCAACGTAATTTTTGCCGATAAATTCCCCAGTCACTACCACGTGTCTCACCACTCTTCACGCCAGGGATGCCTTCTCTCGCACAATGGCATCGCCGCCTCCCTCAACTCGTCTCTCGCATTCACCACAGAAATTATTAATCACGAGTAATTCTTTCCGCACAATTATGGATGTAATACGTTAATGAAAACTTGGTTGCAATTATAAGGATTTAAATATTATCATATTCTCGTTTTATGGTGTCAAACAAGAAATGGAGAAGATTTTATTTTCTCCATGGCATTCGTACGTAACAGAAAAGACTGCTACTACATAACAATTTTAGTTAATAACTCTCGCTTTGAAATTATTGGGAGTTATATTATCCGTAAGTAATTATTACACGGAATACTGATAATTTTAGAGAACCACATTCAATTCTCTAACCCATTGGTTATAAATGTGTCTAACTGGACATTATCTGACACAATGTTGTTACTCGATTTCATGAGAATTCTAGCATTAATACGCAGATGAAATGGTTAATTTATGTTGACTCTACCGTTAGTGAAATTAGTAACTACTGTAGTTAGTATATTATGATAATGATTTATTATAATACAATAGTAGTTTATTTGTGTTGGAAATTTCCAACATAACTCCGGGGGGAGAAAACTCGGGTCGCAGTGCAATGTTGAGTACTGATGTACCTATCCCAAAGTTAGTATTAATGTAAGTATGTTAGTATGTTAGTATACACATAACGGATGTCCAGTAATTGTCAAGGACATACAAGAATTTTAAGTCTTGTAAAGGAACTCATGTCGAATGAAACATGGAATTGTGAATCATCTAAAGTTAATGACTAATAAAGCCTACAATATACTCTGTGACTGGTGTCGCTATGACATGTAACGTTTATGTTACTAATTCTTAAAGTCTTGCAAACTCATAGATACTCTAGATGAAATAATGTTATAGTTGATAGCCTACACAAACAAATTAACGATTAAATCATACAATTTAAAGTAACTGAGAATCCACTGTGAGGTGAATGTTTTGGGTCATGGTGACTTGTAACTGATTTGTTACTCGACATCACAACACAGCATCATCATGATTACTCAAATAGGATGTGAAATTATTTGCTCATAGTCAGAGCTATAATAGGCTTGTAGTTTCCGTTTGCATTGTTGAGCAGCTGCTCTAGTGGGGCGGGTGCTCGGTGGATCAGAATTGTTGTCCTCAGAAACTGTTGGTGAAGATGGTTCTGATAAACACTCTCGTTCTGCTAATTCGAGAGGTACCAACTTCTCTAAGGTATTTAGGGTAGTAGTGCCTCGGCACAAAACCGGTACTACTCTCAGGAAGCCTTGGTGATCTGGGTGGATAGCAATAATTTTGCCTATAGGCCATTCTGACCTTGGTCCATCACTGTCAACCAATACTAGGTCTCCTGGTTTAAGTTGAACTTTATTATATGGGCTCGAAGCTCCATAGTGGTACTCTCGTAGAGCTGTGAGGTACTCTCGAGTCCACACCTCATTCCACCTTTCAATTACTCTTGAGAGATGTTGGTAATTTTCTACTAAGTCACTCCTGGTTACATGGGAAGGGTCGAAGGGGTCCTCTTCTGCCAAAGGTATCAGAGGACTCAGCAGGCCTCCATGTATTAAATGTGAGGGGCTCAGAGGTTCTCTCTGTGAGAAATCATCTGATAGGTAAGTTAATGGGCGATTGTTGACTCGCGCCTCAATTTCCACGACGAGTGTTTGGAGTTCGGAGTAATTAATTTTCTGTCGATGCAAGGTCTTCCTTAAACATTTCTTGACAGTCCCTATCATACGTTCGTAGAACCCACCTTGCCAGGGTGCTCTGGGAGCAATAAATTTCCAGTGGCATTGCCGTCTCTGCAGGACAGACTGCACTTCTGGATGATTCCATATCTCTCGTAGGCAGGCTTCTCCTGCCACAAAATTTGAACCATTATCAGATATCATTAGTTTGGGACAGGATCTGCGAGCTGCAAATCTACGAAAAGCTTGGATGAAGGCTTCGGCACTCATGTCAGAAGTCACTTCTAGATGTACGCCTCGTGTGGTATTAATGATTGATTTGACAGTTTGACGACCTTGAGGAAACCAATATTTCTGTCTTAGGTCGGTGAGAGTGTCTAACACTCCACCATGCAAAGTACCATATTGATGGTGATGTAAAACTAGAAGCTTTGTAATAATGTAGTGACGTGGTAGAAGGATCGGATTCTTTGTATCCAAATCAATTTTTGCATGAAGCAAACCTCCTCCACACCTTAATATATTATGAGTGTTGGCATCATACCAGATAC